AGCCGCCCTGTTCCGGAGCACCCCCTCGGGCGGCTGAGGTTCTGCTCCCTGACCGCGGCCCTCGGGTGGGCTCCAACACGCTCACGGAAATTCTCACAGGCTGGACGTGTCTTCCCTTGACCAGTTTGTCGGTGACGGTCACCTTCCGAGGCCGCAAGGGGGCTCTCCTGATGGGCCCCGACGTGTCCGGCTTGAGTGCACCCCTCAAATTCCCGTGGTGACCTCCCTCCACAGGGCTGTGCCATGCTGCGCACGGGCCCCCGCGCATAGGCTGGGACTCCGTCGCCCTCGTGCTGGCCGCCCAGCGGCCGGGGGACACCCCAACACGGGGGGCTTTTTCCACGTTCAGCTCTCCCGTTGGGGAGGCGGGGGGACAGTGTGCAGGTCGGCCGCTGAGCTGTGACCTGTTCTCACTCTGGTCCGTCCAGGGGCGGCCTTCTGATCGGGCCGCCGTCCACCGTGGGCTGCGTCCCGGACCCCAGCCGCTCTCCGGCGGTCAGCGGAGGAGCAGGGAGCTGTGCGTGGGCACCAGCCAAGGGACAGTAGAGGGGGCAGCCCCTGCCATGGTGTCAGAGCCAGTCCAGGGGCCAAGGGGCTCCCGGGGGGGAGGGGGAATCCCCGCCGGTTCCCCGGCCTCGGCCTGCTGGAGCCGCCCCGTCTCCCAGCACAGCGCTGCTCTGAGGGCGCCCAAGGCCTCGGGGTGGGGGGTGGTTCAGGTTCAGGGGTGTGTTCTGTCCTCCAGTCTGGGGGGTTTCGATGACTCTGCCGGCGAGTGCACGGTTGCCCCCACGTGGACATCCCCCCATCCGTGGTCGTCACTGGGGGGCGCGCACGGGTTTGGGCCATGAGCCGAGGGGACCCCTCCCCCACACACACACTGGGGCCACGGCACAGAGATCCATCCCTTCCGGCTCCCCGGCTTCCGCTCCGCACCGGGGGGCTCAGGCCAGCTTCCAGGTCCACGGTCAGCGTGCCCGTTGCTGGAGGGGCGTTCACCTGCGGGGGGTTCGCCGCTGAAGGCAGGGGGGCAGCCCCCGGTCCCACAGTGCGGGGTTGGGGGGAGAAGTCCGTTTCCGCCTCCTGCGTGAGTCCTCCGGCCTGGGCTAACACGCAGGTCGCCGGGGGTGCACGGTGACCACGAGGAAATGACCACGTTTATCACCTACGTACGTACAGGGTCGTCCGCAGGAATCGGGGCCCCAGGACCCGTCCTGCGGCCAGAGCGGGCCTCCTGCCTGTCTGCCTGCCTGCCTGCCCGCCCGCCCTCGGATCTCGGAGGAGGGGGGGCCGGTGCCCTGTGGTCTGGATTGCAAGGTGCAGGGAGGCACTTCAAAGGCAGAGAGAAAAGCCGTTAACGTTCGTTAAGCAAACGTTTGCCCGCCCATCTCTGACCGCGGGCCACGGGCCCAGGAGGACTTCGACCGGCGCTGGGCCCTCCCCGATTGCACCAGCCCCCAGGGAACCCCAGTCCTCCGGGCCCTGCCTCCCTTCCGGCTCTTTATCTAAATCCCTTTACTCCGTTAGGGAGGAGGTCGAAGGTTTGGGTTTGGGGTTTTTCTGAGCCTGGTTTCTCAAAAATAATCAGGTTCAATCAACAGTTTCCTGTCAAGGAGTGTCTGGTGGGGGAGGGGGGAGGAGAGAATCTGCTTCCCTCGCAGACACGGGGCCAGCCCCCTCGTGTGGCCGGCCGGGCAGCGCCCATGTGACATTTCCGCTCCCAGGCCCCCACGTCTCTGTCCCCTCCCCGTCTCGCTGGGGCCTCGGGCCCTCGAGCCCCCGTAGTCCCAGAGGCTGTGGGCCCCCACCGGGGCTGGCCCACAGGGACGGACCCCCCCCCTGCCCAATTTGCCCCAGGCGGTCCCAGCTGGGGCGTCCGTTATACTCTCCCCCTTCCTGCTTTTCAGATCCCCCCAACCTGGGGCGGGCATCAGAGCAGCCTTGCTGGGCCCTCTAATGTCTGGGGACCGGACGGGGGTCCCTGGGCCCACGGGGCCCGGACGGCGCTGCACCCAGACCCCCGTCTGTCCCCCCCAGCGCTGTCCTTCCGGTTCATCGAGTTCCCTGGCCACCCGAAGGTCCCCTCCGTGCCGGGACCGCCCCCGGCCGCCGGCTCCTCTCCCCGTTCTCTGGTTAGTTCGGGGTTTCTGTCAGCATCTGGAAGGCCCAGAAGGGAAGCTGAGACAGCAGATTCCTCGAGGAGTCTTGCTGGAGACGGGGTGAAGGGGGCAGGAAGCTCCCTGGGCCGTTCTGGGTGACCCCCTGTAACCTAGAGCTGTTACATAATCCGAGTGCTCAGGGGGAAGAAAAGCGCTCGACCACAACATTTGAGCAAGTCGACGAGACGGAAATGAAACACCGGGCAAAACGGACTCGAGGAGAAACGAAAGTGTCGCTCCGGCCGCGGCTGCGGGGGCTCGGTGGGCTGGGCTGGGCTGGGCTGGGCGTCGCCCCGGAAGAGGAAAGGCACCCAGGTCGCTCCCGGTCAGGGCGCAGGCCCGGGTTGTGGGTTCGGTCCCCGGTCGGGGTGCGTGCGAGAGGCAACCCGTCGGCGTTTCTCTCCCCCGATGGTTCTCTCCCCCGCGTTCTCCCTCCCGTCCTCTCTCCCTGACGATCAATAAGCCGACTGTTTTAAAAAGAATGAAGACAAAGTAAAATCGAGACCCTCGCGAGCTGTCCTGGTGGACCACGGGGAAGCCTCTCTTGCCAGAGGGCAGCCGAGGGACTTAGAAAGCGACCCGCGAGCCCAGAGTGTAGCAGCTGCAAACCGCAGCCCTGGCCTGTCCTCCAGGCTCCGCATGCCGCAGCGCCGCATCCCGGCTCAGGGTTCCTCCGGGGGACGAGCCCCTGGACCCCCTCCTCCCCACCCCCGCCTGCTGTGGGCTGGAGGTCACCTCCGACCGGCTGGCCGTGCGAGCGAGCAAGAGGACATGGGAGACGGGGGGTGGGCTCTTTGCAGGCTCGTCCTCACGGGGGCCTTGCAATCGGGCGGGGGCGGGGCTGTGGCCGAGGGGGCAGGTGCCCCCGGCCGGAGCAGGTGCGGCCGATGCGGCACTGGCGGGCAGTCGGTGCCCGGCCGGGCGCACATGTGTATCTGCTTTTTATTTATTTTTTATTTTTCAAAAATTTTTAAAATATATTTTATTGATTATGCTATTACAGTTGTCCCATTCCCCCCCTTTACTCCCCTCCACCCTGTACCCCCTCTCCCACCCACATTCCCCCCTTTAGTTCATGTCCATGGGTCATACTTATAAGTTCTTCAGCTTCTACATTTCCTGTACTATCCTTACCCTCCCTCTGTCTATTTTCTCCCTACCGTCTATGCTACTTATTCTCTGTACCTTTTCCCCCTCTCTCCTCCTCGCACTCCCCTGTTGCTAACCCTCCACGTGACCCCCATTTCTGTGGGTCTGTTCCTGTTCTAGTTGTTGGCTTAGTTTCTTTTGCTTTAGGTGTGGTTGTTAATAATTGTGAGTTTGCTGTCCTTTTACTGTACATGTTTTTTCTTTATCTTCTTTTCTTAGATAATTCCCTTTAACATTTCATAAAATAGGGGCTTGGTGATGATGAACTCCTTTAACTTGACCTTATCTGAGAAGCACTTTATCTGCCCTTCCATTCTCAATAAAAGCTTTGCTGGATAGAGCAATCTGGGATGTAGGTCCTTGTCTTTCATGACTTGGAATATTTCTTTCCAGCCCCTTCTTGTCTGCAAGGTCTCTTCTGAGAAATCAACTAACAGTCTGATGGGAACTTCTTTGTAGGCGACTGTCTCCTTATCTCTTGCTTCTTTTAGGGTTCTCTCCTTCATTTTTACCTTGGCTAATGTCATTATGATGTGCCTTGGTGTGTTCCTCCTTGGGTCCAACCTCTTTGGGGCTCTCTGAGCTTCCTGGATTTCCTGGAAGTCTATTTCCTTTGCCAGACTGGGGAAGTTCTCCTTTATTATTTGTCCAAAAACATTTTCAATCTGTTGCTCTTCCTCTTCCCCTTCTGGTACCCGTATAATTCGGATGTTGGAGCGTTTAAAGATGTCCTGGAGGTTCTTAAGCTTCTCCTCATTTTTTTGAATTCTTATTTCTTCATTATTTCCTGTTTGGTTTTTTTTTTTTCCTTTCTGGTCCACTCTATTGTTTTGAGTCCCAGTTTCCTTCCTATCACTGTTGGTTCTCTGTGCATCTTCCTTCATCTCTTTTATGGTAACCTGCATTTTTTTTTATCTAATTTGCAACCAAAATCAACCAGTTCTGTGAGCTTCCTGATCACCAGTGGTTTGAACTGTGCATCTGATAGGTTAGCTATTTCTTGGTCACTCAAAAGGATGAGTCCTGGGGCACTGATTGGTTCTTCTATTTGAGCCATCGCTCTTTCTCTCTTTTAGGGGGGGTCTGGTCGCTCGTTACAGTGAGGGGTGGAGCCTTAGGTGTTCACTGGGGCTGGGCACCCCACTCGCTAGATTGTGACGATGTATGTGGGGGTGAGGGCAGGAGGGAACTATGGCGGCAGCTCTACTCTCCTGGGACCTCAGTCCCCTCCCTGGGATCCCGGGCTGTGCATTCCGCCCTGCTCCACAATCGCAGCCTCACTGGGTCTGCCAGTTGCCGCTTGCAGACTCAGGGTCCACCCGCTGCGATCCTGCGCACCCCGGATGGCCTATGCGCCCCCGGTTGCCTTAGGCGCCCAACTGTCCCCGCACTCCGAGCTGCGACCTGCTGCTTGTCTCCGCCCCTCCCACCGGTCCGGATGAACGGGTCTACTTCAACTTCCTGGCTGTCCGACTTCCATTCAGATACATTCTCTATCAGTTCTGGGTGTCATTCTGCCTCTAAATTGTTGTTGTTCTAATCTCGGTTGTGCATGGATGTACGGTGCGTCCACCTATGCCTCCACCTTGCCGGAAGTCTATTCTTTAATTTTTTAAAAAATATTTTATTTTTAGACAGAGGGGGAGGGAGGGAGAAAGGAAGGGAGAGAAACATCAGTGTGCGGTTGCCTCTCTCGCACGCACCCCGCCCCCAGCCCCTCACCGAGGACCCACCCTGCAGCCCAGGCGTGTGTCCTGACTGGGAATCGAGCCGGTGACCCCCCCCGGTTCACAGGCCACCGAGCCACAGCAGCTGGGGCTGTCTCTGCTTTTTGTCTGTGTGTGTGTGTGTGTGTGTCTTAAATTGGGTTGGCCAAAAAGGCCATTTGGTTTTTCCCGTGAAGTAAGAGACACCTTTCGTGCTCGCCGACGACTTCCCTGACGGGGACGTCGGGGGGTGTCAGCTGCCCCCCATGCGGGGAAGCTGCTTCTTCTCCGTTCACGAATGTCCCCACCCGACCTCTGTGAGATCCAAACGGCCTCCCCGACCTCGGGCGCCGTCTGGACTGGGGGGCCCTGCAGGATGTGGCCCCCGTAACCAGGCAACGGTGCCATCACCCCCACCACCCGCCCCCAGAGTGCACAGGGGTGGGAGGGGCCGCATGTCTTGGGAGATCACAGCACATGAGCCACTCCCACACGTGCGCCCCGCCGGCCCTCCGTCCCCCGGCGGGGAGAGCCCGGTCACCACCAGAGGAACGCTCTGACCGGAGAACGCAGTCCCGGTGTCCTCGTGTGGGCACCTGCGGGCGCCACGCGGCCCACTTAGAGCTCCGGGGCCACGGGGCTAAGCGACCATCAGTGGTCACAGTGGCGGCGGGGGCGGTCCAATCCAGAGGAAATGGGGTGTCACCACTGAGTGGGATTGGGGGTCCCCGAGGCCTTTCCTCGCCCTGCCCTGTCCGGTCGTGAACTCCGGTGGAAGACCAGGGCCACGGCGTGAGTCTTCCTTCCTCGGCCCCCCAACAGGAGGAGCGGGCCCCTCCCCAGGATCGGGGCTCAGGCAGGCTGGGGGCGTGCAGCTGGCGCGGAGGAGGAGGAGGAGGAGGAGGAGGAAGAGAAGGCTCCCCGCGGGCACCGGTCTCGGGCCAGCGGCCGGGGAGCAGTCTGTGGCTTCCGGCAGAATTTCTCCTCCTGCTTGGCCTCTCCGTCTCGCAGAATTTCACTCACGTCGCTCCTCTTCCCCCGCCCCTGCCCCCACTGCCGTGCTGGCGCCTGTTCACAACTTATCTCGTGGGGCACAGGACAGGGAGAAGGACAGGGAGATGACCAGGACAGAACCACAGGGCGGGCGGACAGCTGCGTGCAGTGCAGGCGGGCGCACCTGTGCTCTGGGGGGCGGTCCTGGGACACAGTGGGGGACCACACGGGTGCCTGTCCCTTCCCTGGCTGCACATCCCCGGAGGGAGGTCCCCCTTGGTTGGCCTTGGTGGGCCAGGCCTGGTGCCCCTCTGTGGAGCTAGCTGCGCGGGCCCCGCCACCCTCTCCCCTTCGCCGGCCGTGCTGGGCTGTGGCCTCGCCGGGGCAGGGCGCACCGCCGTCTGCCTTGGGGCTGTGGGGTCTGAGCACAGGATGCAGCCCCTGACCCCACCGGGGACAGTCTCGATTCCCCAGACAGGCGCTGTGGCTGCCCGGTGGGGCTGGTGCACAGGGCACCCCTGGACATGCGATGAGATGTCGCCTCCAGACGGGGGGTCCCCTGGGCAGCCTCGAGGGTCGAGCACCCTGTCCAGCCCGTGGAGAAGGGAAGTCGGAGAAGTTCCCTGCACAGGACTCCCCACACCGTCGCTGCCTTGGAGGTGGTGGCGGGGGTTGGGGAGGCAGGCGAGAGGGGCGTTGTGGTCCCACAGCAGAGAGTGGCCCCGGATGGCCCTGTGGGGCCTGCGCCTCCCTGCAGAGCCCGCCAGGCTCCCCTGCTCCAGACCAGCTCCCAGCCTGTTCGGGGGAGCCTGTGGGGGACCCCGGCCCCGTCGGCGCACAGGGGGCCGCTCCTCTGGCCGGGCTCCCCTCCCCCACCCCAGCACGATGCGGAGGACCGGGCTCGTTCCCCAGAGGGGCACGGGGCGGAGGCGGGGGCGTCCATGCCCCCGTGGGCAGACAGGTGGCGGGCAGGGGGTCGGCACAGAGCGTCAGTGGTCCTGGAGCAGCCGGGGGCTCCCCAAGCGTCCGCCAGGGCCCAGGTCGTCCAGCTGATGCAGGGCGGAGGCGGGCCCCTCCTCGGAGCGTCTGAAGAGGCTGGGCTCCCGGGTCTGCCGGCCGCGGGCTCTGAGAGGCAGAGGGAGGGACGAGGAGGCTGTTCTAGAACTCGAAGGGGCGGGGCCAGTGCCTGGACCGGGTTGGGGGGAGACCTAGCCGGCCAGAAGGAGTGACGGGGCGGGGGGGGCAGGGGAAGCGGCAGGCAGGGACGGCTGTGAGCACTGGGGTGGGGACAGCCAGGTCCGGGGCCCCCTGCTCCCTGGGCACCAGGAGCCTGGGGGGCCCCAAGATCACTGCAGCTATGGTGTGGGGACCCCAGGAGCCTCCACCTCTTGGGGCAGGTGGACACGGCCCCTGGGAGGTCAGGTGTCGGTAGGGGCTGGGGACCAGCAGGGGGTCCCCGTGCCAGCAGAGGGTGGGGGGCATGCAGGTCTGGCACTTCGCAGCCGCCCCCTCCCTCCGTGTGGCCAGGGGTTCTTCCAGGGCATCAGCCGGGCCGGGCTGCAGGGGCCCCGCTCTGGGGGAGGGGCAGGCGGGCCTACCGGGGGCTCAGGGCATAGGTCCCTCTGCGGTCCAGGCTGCGGCCGGAGCAGATGGCAAACCACAGGAAGGAGCTGAGCAGCATTGCGTACACCTGGGCAGGGGGTGGGGGGGCACCTGCACCACTGCCCTTCCCAGGAAGTGACCGGGGCCCTAGGGTGTCTGGTTATCCAGGGAAGGGGGGCAGGATGGCCCACCACCCCAGGCCCCGTCCCTGGGGGCAGCCCGGTCCTCCCAGCGGGGCGGGGGTGGGAGTGGAAGGGGTGGCGGGGGAGGTACCATGGAGGCGAGGCCCACGCTGGCCAGGATGGAGACGACCTGTCCGTGTGTCCTCAGGAGGCTCCGGATGCCCTGCAGGCAGTCCTGGGGGGAGGGCAGCGTGAAGACTCCCGCCCGCCCGCCCCTCCCTGCCCCCCCAGGGGCCGGCCGAGCCCACCGCGGCCAGCCAGCACGGGACGCAGCCCCGGGAGCCCTGGGCAGGCCCTGCAGAGTGGCCCGGCAGCCCCTCGGGAGAAGGGACCCAAAGGGGCCCTCCGGGTGGTCCCTCTTCTCTCAGAGGGCAGCGGTGGGCCGACCGCCGACCGGGACACCGTCCCTGCCCCCCGCGCCTGGGGTGGGGGGGGTCTGCAGAGAGACCACGCCGCACCGGAGGCCCTGCCCGGCGTGCACAGACGGGGCCCGAGGCCGCCCCCCGGCCGGCGAGGGCCAGCACCCCGCTCTCGCCCCCTCCCCAGCACACTGGGCCCCCCCTGCCCGCGCCCACTCCCAGCGGGCAGCCCCGCCGGGGCTGAGGTGCCCTGCCGGCCACGTCCCTGCCTGGGCCTCTGCCACGTGCATCCTCCTGTCTGTCTCTTGGAGGGCGGCCAGGAGCCCGGGAGATAGGGGCGGCTTGTTTCCCGGCCTGCGGGGGAGGGGAGCGGGGCAGGCCGCGGTGGGGACGGCTGGCCGGCAGGAGGAGGGGGCTGCGAGCCCCTCTCTGGGCTGAAGGAAGAAGGGGTTTCCCGCCCCTGGCCTCACTGGGACCGCAGCCTCCGGCGGCTGCACGGGCACAGGCCGACCCTGCGGCGGGCGAGCTTCCTCTTCGGAGCGCCCTCCGGCCGGCTCCTCCAGGGGCCCACAGGGGCCCCCTGATCCCCCTCCCTGCACAGCGGACCACCTCTGACCTCTGCTCTGCGACCCCCAGCCCCGGCTCTCCTGGAGGCTTCCGGGGGCAGGGTCTCAGTGCTTGGCTCCGCGCCTGACCTTGGGGAGCCCGCAGACCGGCGCTGAAGGGAAGCCGTGGACGGAGTGCGGGGCCTGGCCCGTGTCGCAGGAGGCTCACCAGCCCGGCCACCCCTCCCCGCCGCCACCCCCTCCCCCAATCACCTGCAGCCTTCCCCCACCCCCACCCCCCCTCGGTGGGCAGGTCCGCCAGCCCCAGCCCCTCCCCCTCACCTGCGAGACACCCTTGGCTCCCAGACACGGGGCGGCCTCCGCGCCGCCCAGCAGGCCGGAAGGCGAGCTCTTCCCGCAGCACAGGAACTGCACGGGCGGACGGCGGGGGGGAACTGAGGCACAAGGGTCCAGCAGGGCTGGGAACCCCAAGAGCTCAGGACCGGGGCTCAGGGAGATGCGGCTGCCTCTGTGGGCGGCCCCGCCTGCCCGGTGGGCTTCCCTGGGGAAGGGGGGCCCTAACGCCCCCGGTGGGTCCTCGCTGGTGCCGCGGCCCTCCTGCGGGTGGACCGAACCCCCGGCCGGTCTCACGGGCTCCGACCCCTGCACACGCCGGGGCCCTGCCCAAGCCGCACCACCAGCAGCCGGCAACCCTGAATCGGGTCTGGACAGTGGGCCTTTCACCTCGCTGTGGACCTCGCAGACTCAGTAGCGGCCTCCCCAGGGCACAGGGAGGATGGAGTCCTTGTCCTCGGGGCAGTGATGGCCTGTGTCCTGGTCACCCTGCTCAGCCCCTGACCCTGGCCGGCTAAGGGGTCCATGGTGAGAGGCTGGCCGGCCCAGAGCCGCCGGGGAGGGGGCCCCGCCACGCTCACCGTGTCCTGGATGGCCTGCAGCTCCTGTCGCCAGACGCCAGGCGGGCTCCTCAACGCCCGGTCGTAGGCCAGGTCGTAGGTGTCCAACGCGGCGTCCTCCACCTGCCCAGGAGGGTCTCCGTGAGGCCCTCCCTGAGGGCGGCCACGCCATGCCGCTGAGGGCTGTCTGAGGGGCCTGCGCCCCCTTCCCCGGGCAGAGCCCCCCGAGGGCAGAGCCAGCCCCCCCGGGGGGCCGGTCACAGTGCTCCCTGGACTCCCACTGGCTGTGAATGCTGCCCCGTCCCCCCCACGCCCCCACGGTGGTCCTGCAGGGTAAGCCAGAGACTGGAGCTCTGGCCTCCAGGAGCATGGAGGGCCGGCCGAGGACGGCGTCCGCCTGCGTCCGTCTCTGGACATGGACAGTGGGCGGGCGAAGCGGGGCCTGGGCGGAGACGGCCGGCGGCAGGGCCGAGTGCCGGGCCTCAGCTCCCCGGCGGTGCCCGGGGGTTTCCCTGGGACCGTCCGGTGTGCTCCAGAAAGCCCCAGCAGCCGAGGGGGTCCCTGGCCAGGGGAGCTGGGGGCACCCAGGGCCACCGCGGGGCCAGCGAGGCCCCCGGGACAGAGGACGGAGGAGGCCAGCGGACGACAGGGGCCCGGCCAGCCCCACCTTCACTCCGCACCCCAACGTCATCCAGACCTCACAGCCTCTGCCCACCGAGCACCCCCTTTCGTGCCTTCCCTCGGGCTCCTCCCCAAAACCAGAATGCCCTCCTCTTCCAGTGATTCTTTCAAACTGGAACCTCGCTTCCTTCAGGAAGGCTTCCAGGATTGCCTGGGGGCTGCTGGTCTCAGGCACGGGCGAGGCCTCTGTGCACTGCCCGGCCCCCTGGTGCCTCCTTTCCCCCTCGGAGACCCCGAGCCCTCCATTACCCCCCTCACACCCCCGTGCCACGCTCACAGCCGGGACACGCTGACGGTGCCCCAAGGGCTGGGGGTGAACGGAGGGGCCAGGCCTGCTCCGGCCACCGACACTCGCCCTCCAGAAGGGAAGGAAAGCCGCAGCGCCTGCACCCGCACCCGCACCCGGAGGGCTTGGGGCAGCCGGCTGGCGGGCAGCGGGGGCTGTCCCGCCCGCCCAGCCTCCTCCAGAGCCGCCGCCCCAGCGGGAGCCAGATGGACTTCTGTCCCGACACCGCTGCTGGCGTCCGTTAGCTGCCCATGAGACATCTTTCTGCCAGTGCCCCCCAGACCCGGCCTGCAGTTCCCTTCCCACCACTGGCCTCTGGGGGGGGGGGTGCAGCAGCGGGGAGCCCCAGGCTGGGGGCCGGCCTCCCCCAGGGAAATGGGGGTGCCAACAGGGGCCCTGGTGGAGCTGGCCCGGGGTCAGGAGGGCAAGCAGCCATGCCAAGGCGGCCAGCAGGGACAACCCCTCTGGTTCTGCCCGCCCCCCCACCCTGCTTCTCCCCTGCTGCTCTGCCCCCCTCCCCCACTTGGGTAAGTGCTCCCAGGGCCAGCGGTCATTGCTGTCATGTCGTCAGGAGGGACGGCCCTTGCTGTGGCCGAGCTGCCAGCTCTGTCCCCGTCCCCACAGCCCCAGAAGCAGGGTCACGAAGCAGACTTGGCCAGGCCACGCCCCTTGCCCAGGGCCTGCTAGAGGAGCAGTGGGGGGGGGGGGCGGTGTTCTCCCTAAGAAAACTGGGGGCACGCCGGGGCCTCGGAGGGACCACGCCCTTCAAGCCCGTCTTCCAGAGCTCCAGGGGTGCCCTGGCTGCGCAGGTCTTCCCCTGGACCACACATCTGAGACTCGCACGCAGACCAGGTTCTCGGGGAGTCCACAGCTCCCCACTTCCAGGCCCTGAGCCAGGGGGGCAGCTTTGGGCTGTGCCGCCCCCCCCGTGTCTGCTGAGCCCGCGTGGGTGGCTCCGGGGTGGCCTGCGGGGGCCGGGGTGGCTCTGCAGACCCACAGGCACCTCTGGCCTGAGCCCGCGTGGGGCGGGGCGGGACGATGGGGGAGGGGAGCAGCCTGGGGCGGGGTGGGGGGGGAGCTGTGAGGACGTCGACCTTCCAGCGCTGGTGCACTTAATCCTCGAATGAATTATTAAGAGGAGCCTGGAGATTCATCTCCGCGGCCTCGTCTGGGGACAGGCGGGTGGTGATGGTGGCTCCCCGCCTGTGGCCGGCGCATAATTAATTGTCTTCTCGCTCTGCATTCGCTGCACGGACACCCGGTCCCCACGCCGCTGGCCCTCGCCAGCTCTGGGGCGCCTGCCAGGGCCCCTCCCCCACCCTGCCGGGGTCCGCAGCCTGGCTTGCTCTGTCCTCTGGTTTCCCATCTGCAGGGGGGTCCGGGGTGAGCCATCTCGGCCCTGATTCAGGATGGCTCAGGGGGTCCCTGGGGAGAGGCACGGGGTGGGGAAAATGGGGGGCGGGGGGCCTGCTGACGCAGGCTGCGGACCCCCAGGAGCACGGCTTCTGTGCTCACAGGGCCTGGAGCAAAGGGGCCTGGCTGGGATCTGGCCGGGGTGTCCGGAGGCCGAGGCCCCGCCCACGACCCGGGGTGCAGGCCCAGTATGGGGCTGGGCCCGGCCCCCCAACCGCCGCCCTGGGCAAGCCCAGGACAGCTCAGCGGCCGTGGGGCGCATGACCAAGGACGGAGGGCCCCACGGAGCACGCCACACGCACCGGTTCGCCCTGCCGCCACGCAGCCCCCGCGGTGGGGCCTCCACACTCCTCTAGACACCGAGGGGAGAGGCCGGCCCCAGGCTCCGCAGCCAGGGCTGGGTCCCCCGGGCCGCGCAGGGCCGCCTGGGAGGCAGGTGGGGGCCTGGGGCCGGGCAGGGCCCCAAGCACTGACCCCTGAGGGCCAGCTGGAGGATGGACCAGACCGGGATGATTTTGGGGGGGGGGCGGCGGCGGGGGCGGGACGGAGAAGAGGCCCGGCTGGGAGGCGTCAGCCAGCACCCCTGCCCTGCCCTGAGCGGAGCCCGGCAGGCCGTGCCTCTGCCCCCGACCCTGCAGTCCGGCGAGTCCTGGGCTGGCGCTCTGCAAACACCCGGGGTCGGAGAAGAGAGGGTGGAGGGTCTGCAGGACCCACCGAGAGCCAGGTGGGGCCCCAGGGCACTCTGGGAGCTATCCTGACCGGGACCACCCAGGCAGTGGCCCAGACTGCTGCTGGGGGGGCGGGGGGGTGGGTTGGGGAGCGGGAGGCCAAAATGCCTGCCTGGGCGAGACGGCTGGCCGGCCCTGCTGAGGGCAGACGCCACCTCTGGGGGGCTTCAAGCTCCCCAAAATCCAGGGGAATATCCTCTGACTGATCTGGGCACAGGTGGGTGACCCCGAATGACGCCGGGGGTGGTGGGCAGTTTGGGGCAACACTGACTTGAGGCATAGGGCCCTGGACGGTGGGTGGGCGGGTGGGGGCCCCTCCTGCCTGGCTCTGCCCAGGGGACCTCGTCCCCCTCTCGGCTGGTGTCCCTCCACGCGCAGACCGAGCGGTGACCCCACGCTCCAAGGCCCGGGCACTCAGCCTCACCCACGCCGGGAGGCACAGGAGGGAGGAAGGCCCGTGTCTGAGGGCGAGGAGAGTGAAGACCAGAGAGGGCGGCCATGCACCCCCACAGCACACAGCACGGACTCCGCCCGAGAGCCAGCCTGCTCTCCTGGCCGGCCACCCGCCCGCCCTCTGCCAGCCTCTCCGCCTGGGGGGTGGGGCGTGAGCAGCCGGATGCCCAGGTGCACGGCCGGGGCCATGGGGCCCCTGACGCACGGGGAAGGAACCACCGCTCGTCACCCAGCACCCACCTGCGAGGGGGCTTGTGCAGGAGCAGAGTTCGCTCCGGCGGGGCCGGGCCTTGCCGAGCACATGGGGAAACTGAGGCCCAGTGGGAGGAAAAGGGACAGCTGAGGGCCGCCGGGAGCCAGGGCGGACAGGGCCCGTGGCCTGGGCTCTCCTGTCTCTCCCTGGGCCCCGGGAGCCAGCCCAGGGCTGTCCTCGGGCTGCCGGGGCGGGGGTGGTGTCTCCCCTGGGTCTGGGCTCTCACGGGCGGAGGGTGGGGACCAAGCTCTGCCACCAGGGTCTGTGCCCTCTCCCGGCTGCGGCCTCGCGGCCAGGGGGCAGCTGGGCTACAGGGCTGGACGTCACCCAGAGCGGGGCAGAGCGCTGAAACGAAACGTGGTCCCCAGCGGGAGGCCCCCTTGGGGACAGGCTGCGACCTGGTGACGGGGCGGGGCCTGGGGAGAAGCCTGACCTGTCAGGCGCTCCAGGCTCAGGGCCTGGGGGCAGGTGTTGGCGCCGGCCCATCTCGCCCGCTGCCCTGGCCTGGCACCCGCTGACTGGGGCCGCCAGAGTCCCTTCCCAGAGCCCTGGGAGCCTCGTGATCCCGCCCGTTCCCCGCCCCAAGAGGCAAAGGGTCCTGGGGCTGGGGCTGGGCTGGCTCCACACTCGGGCCCCTTGGGGACCCCCTGACCCCCTCTCTGAGCCTCGTAGGCACCCTTGTCCTCTGTCCAGACTGGGTGGGCCTGGCCTTGCCCCCCCACCCCCAGTCTGGCAGGGTGTCAGCTTCACTTATGAAGGTGCCAGCCCTACCTCCGGGGCAGGCTCTCAGGTGCTCCTTGGGCCTCGAGTTCGGACAGAATTCCCAGAGGGCCGCCTGAGCCCCAGGGCTGTCCCAAGCTGCTCTGAGGGTGGGCGCCCAGCGCAGACCCACGGCCTGCAGGTGCCTGGCCCTGCTCACGCACGCTCTCTGGGGGCCGTGGCTCCACGTGGCCGAATTATCCCGGGGCCGGGGCCTCCAGGCTAGCTAGGAGCCTGAGCCCCTCCTCAGCCCTGAGCCTCCCTGGGCGCCCTGCTGACGTAGCAAGCCCCCAGCAGACGTTGGCTGAGTGGACGGACGGATGGACCCCTGCTGTGGGGACTCACGCCCACCACCACCCCGGGCATCATCCTCCCAGTCACCCCCAGCACGACTGTCCCTGGGAAAGGGCCCACGTTCAGGATGGAACCAGCAGCGCACCTCGCCCCGGCCACCTGCATGCCCTGTCACCAGGCAGGTTGGGGTCCAGTGGGTGCATCCTGGACACCCTGTGCCCCTGGTCCTCCCGGCGGCCCCCCCCCCCACGGCATCTCTCCCTGTCTGGCCGTGCCCCGTCAGGGGTACAGACCCCCGTAGTGAATCTTTGGGAACACTGACTCCCCTCAAATCCATCCCTCAGGCAGGCAGGGGCCTCCCTCCACCTGCCCCTCCCCTTCCTCTGCACCCTGGAGCTGTCTTCCCGGCCAGGGGGACGCAGGAATAGGGGGGATCAGTTGGGGTGGTCCGAGGCCTCTACCAGCTTCCCCTCCTCCCTCCTACAGCTGCTGCCCCCGCCCTCTGGTGCCTGTGTCCCCGCCCCACCCCCAGGCAGACAGTGTCCCTGCAGTGGTCCCCAAACACCCACCCATCTCTTCCCTAGTGACAGGGGTGCGGGAGGAAGCCTGGCCTGACTTTCTCATCGCCGTCCGGGGACCCTCTGCTGCGTGACCCGGCGGGGGCGCTCACCTGGGTGGGGCTGCGGAGTCTCCAGAAGGCCACCTGCGCCAGGACGCAGAACGCCAGCGCGAAGCACAGGAAGCCCTGGGGAGAGGAGGGCGGTCAGCCCGCTGCCCGTGGCCGCGGCCGAGGGACCCCGGCCCGGCCCCCCGCTGCCCGGGTGGAGACCTGGGGCAGCGGGCACACGCCTTCCCACCCTTCCTTTTGGCGCTTTTTGGGAAGCTTTCCGCCATGGCTGGCTTTCCTTCCGAGGGCCTGTTCCTGGGGGTGGCACCCCCTCGCCCCAGGGAGGGAGGAGTCCCCGGCACGGAGACCCCCCTGCTCACGGGGACTGCTGCTGGGAGGGACACTGACCTTGGGTGGGGGGGGGCAGGCAGAGCCCTCTGTGGGCCTGGGACCAGGGTCTGGGAGAGCCTGCCCCGTTCAGGTGGCCCAGGCGCACTGGGCAGGGACAGCTGGCTTTTGTTCTTGAAAACTCTACAGCTGGGCTCCCGGGGGACTGCAGCCCACACCCGCCCCCCGCCCCCGGGAGCCCCAGGTTCTGGCCCGGAGAGCTCAGGCCAGGGGAGACACACCCAGATGGTGTGACCACCGCCCACCTCCTGCCTCGCACCTCGAGCCCCTTTCTTTTCCCACATCCTGCTCCTCCAGTGGCCCAAGGGTGCCGGTCGCCTCACGCATGTGCAGCCTGGACCTGCGCTGGAGGGCCCAGGAGGTCCCTGGAGAGCACGCCCCGGCCCCGGCCCCAGCCCCTCACGGTGCCCTCTCTCCGGGTCCGGGCTCTGGGCTTGCAGAACCAGCTGAGCACAGTGGGCCCCTCCCCTGAAAAAGGAACTCACGCCAGTTCTCTTCGCAGACAGGGTCAAAGGGTCACCACCACCCCAGAGCCCGGCTTGGTTCCCCAAGCCACTGACCGCACACGCCAGGGTCTGCGGGGCGTCTGCAGGCCCGCTGCCACAGTACGGAGCACGTCCCCCACCCTCGGCGAGGGCGCCCTGAGTGTGTCACTCCCTTCCTCCCCCTTCTGGGGCTGCAGACACCCCGCAGGCGTCCCATAGCCTGGGACGGGCCTCGAGCTCGCCCAGGCTGATGGAGAGGTGCCCGCTGACGCGGAGGGACACACCGACACTGGCCAGGCCAGGCGGGGATGAAGAAATAGTCCGTGCGTGTGTTGAGAGGGGGCGGCTCTGTGAGAAGGTGGACCACCCACCAGCCCCCACGCTCGGGTGTGGGCGCAGGGGCCCTGCCCGGCTCTGATGTGCACAGCCGCCTGCCCGGGAGTGTGCAGGCCTCAGTCTCAGGACGTCCTTGAAGGTGCCTCCTCCTTCCTCTCCGGCCTTCCCCTCCCCCTCCTCCCCCTCCTCCCCCCGGCTGGCCGAGGGCCACCTTCCCATCTGGAAGCCATCGCTCAAGGCTGCCTCCCAGGCTGGGGCCCTGAGCCAGCTCAGGGGACCCGCATGCTCCAGAAACCGTCCCACTCCTAGGAGAGAGCACGGCCCCCGCCTCCGCCCGCCGGCCCACCCACCACCCTGCAGAGGGCGTGGGGGGGGGGGAAGGGCGGACCCACCCATGCCCCCAGGCCTCCGCCCGCTGGGCACCGGCCCTGGTGTGGCCCGGCCCAACCCCAGCGCTCTTCCCCGTCCTCATTCCAGGCAAAAATACGTAAATAAAGCGCAACGGCCTCCTTGGGCCACCCTGGCAAGCGCTGCGCCTCTCATTTCCTGTTCTAGGGGCCGGAGGGGGTGGGGGCAGGAAGTGGGGAGCATCCCGCGCCGGTCCCACCGGGAGCCATCTCCAGCCCCTTCCCAGGCGCTCACGCACACGCACACGCATGCATGCACGCCCGCAGACGTGCCAGCTGCGGCACGTGCACGCACGCGCTCGGCGCGCAGGTGTCTGGGAGAGCCAGGTTGCGCGCCTGACCTCCCCCGGTCAGGGCGCAGGGCTGGGCAGGGGTCAGGGGGCGCTGGGGGCGGCCCTGGTGCCTGGCTGGGCCAAGAACAGGCCTGAGCTCGCGAGACCAGAGGAGCCGGGGACACAGAGCAGAGGCGACCTCGTTGGCCGCCTTCAGCCAGCACCACGGCGCCCCCTGGCGGCCGACGCTGCAGCTGCCCCGCCCCCCACGCCCAGGGCGCAGCCCTCTCCTGGACCCCGGGCCAGGCCCCGCTGGCCGGCCCCCCAGTCCTAATGCCCGCCCCCTTGTCGGGCCCCACAGCTGTGGGCTCTCCCTTGGTGGGGGCGGGGGGGCAGTCTTGTGCCCCATCGGCTTCCCTCCCTCCACCATGCGGGCCAGCGATGTTCAACCCTTTTCATCTCGCAGCACACAATAATGACTAAAATTCTGCCCCAAATATACTTTTTGTCACTCTGACCAAAAAAAAAAAAATAGGTATACTTTAGATTTATTCCCACTGCACAGTGTTTTATTCGACAACCCAGGGCACGGGCGGTCCGGGCCCCTGCCTGTCTCTAGGACTCTGGGGCTCGCCCCTGGGCCGCGGCGGGTGAGAGTGGCCGCCCTGGGCGCAGGGCGCAGCCGTAGCGGAAGGACCCCGGGCTGCCCCGTGCCGCCGGCGGGGTCCTGCTTAGGGCTGAGCTGCCCGAGCCCGGCCTCCCCCAGGGGCACACCGAGGGCTGGCTGGCCTGGGGCCGCTGCTCCGGGGGGTGGCCCTGTCCCTGCCCTTGGGGCCAGTTACGACCAGGAGACACTCCACAAATACTGGGTGACACAGGCTGGCCCGAGAACCCTGGCCATCCCGGGACTCAGCGGCCACCTGGAGAAGCACACCCCCTCCCCACGCCCCACAAGAGCTTCCAGGGGTCTCTGGCCCTGGGGCTGGGGGCACCAAAGAGGGGCCTCCAGGCTGGAACGGAGGGAGGGGGCCAGACTCCGCACATCCCAAGGGCCAAGTATGTGCCCGGGGGTAGCTGGGGGTGCGGGGAAGAGCACAGGGCCCAGTTCAGGTGAGGGGGCAGGGCTGGCGCCGGCAGCAACAGGACGAGGCGGAGGGGACCTGGGGGCCCATGTGGAGGAGCTGGTATGGGGACAACACGAGGCCACTGCTGTGGGACCATCAGGGGCGTGGGGGGCCCCCTCCCGCAGCTGCAAGGGATGGCGTGGAGCTCAGGAGGACGGGGGCTGTAGCCGGCCTGGAGCGGCCAGACTGCGGGGCTGGGGGTGGTGGGCGGAGGGGCCTCTCCCCGCCTCTCCCTCTGATAGTCACAGGAAACGAAATTCACTGGAAATCCCAGCCGGGCCTCCAGGGTAACAGAACCCGAGCGTCCCTGGGCCTTTGGCCTCTCCCTCTCCCTCCGAGGATGAGGAGGGTGGAGGACGGTGCAGTGAAGTAGGGCCCGGGGGCGGGACTCTGGTTGGTCTGGGGGCGGGGCCCCGGCTGGCCCCCACCCCTCTGTCGGTGTTTTCTGGTGTTTTCGGTCTGGACACGGCAGGGGGAGGTCCGCAGCCCCACCAGTCCGGAGTGCGGACTGGGGTGCTGGGGCGGCGGGGGGCGTGAGCACTCACCCCGGCCATGAGGCGTCGGGCCTCCCGCACGGCGGCCGCGGCACTCAGCACGGCCCCCAGGGCGAGGAGCCCGGCCAGGCTGATCCCCGTGAAGAAGGCTGCGTGGGGCGAGAGAGGGGGAGCGTTAGGGGAGCCCGGGCCAGGGGTCCCCCAGTGCGGAGCCCGGGTCTGAGGTCCTCCCGAAGTAGGGGGGGTGTGCTGGACTTCTGGGAGCTCTGACGGGGCCCCGTCTCCCCATCAGGACGGGATGTGCCCCCCATCCCCCCACGCCCCACGCCCCCCGCCCTGCCGCCCTGCGCTGGCACGCTCAGAGGGGCCTCTGCTTCCTGCCTGCCTGCCTGCCGGCCGGGGCTATCTTTGAAGCCGCCTCCAGCCGCCTCCCGCGCCCTGGTGACAGCTGGCCGAGTGGGGCTATCATCTTATCGGTCCGGACCCAGGCTTCCTGCTCCGGGGAGGCTGGGGCTCACGTCAAGGTTGGAAGGTGGGGCCCGGGGGGCGGGCACGAGGCCTGGGGCTGGGACCACCACCCAGCCCAGGGGGCTGTGTTTCCCCGCACATACATCCGCCCTACTGCTTTCACCCAAGGTTCAAGCCCCTGGAGGGACACCGCCGTCCCTGTGGGCTGCTGGAGGACTCCCCTGGGCCGAGCCCCTCCCGGGGGGAACATCCCCTCCAGGACGCGGAGCCCAGGGTCTGGATGCCACCTGTCACGCTGTCCTCGGGGTCCCGGGGAGGGGCTGCCGACCCCAGGCTCTGTGCGGAGGGACCCTCTGCCCGGGACTCCGAGGCCTGTCCCTGTCTGGCTCCGCCCCCCGGGGCCCTCCCGGGCCGCCTCGGCCCCTGAAACCCCGCCCCCCGACAGTGGCCGCCCAGGGCCTCACTTACCCCAGCGGTGCAGGGCCTCGTAGGGGGACCCCTCCGGAGAAACACGCCGGAGGACGGCAAAGTGGGCTCCGAAGCGGGCGAGAGCCGCCACGGCGGCCAGGAGGAGGCCCAGCAGCTGGCGGGGCAGAGCCAGGGTGCAGGGCGGGGCTGGCGCACGCCCGGCCCAGGGGTGCCCCCAGCCTCCCTCCAGCGTCCCCGTCTCACCCAAGACAGCCCCCGCTTCGGGTGTGTCTGCAGGGGGGTCCCAGGGAGGCCTTTGCCCCGGACATCCCCCAGCACACACAGAGTGTCAGACACCCTGACAGTCATGTACAAACTCCCCGCCACTCACACACACACACATATAAGTGTGCTCACGCTGCCTCACCCCCAAAGACACCCCCACTGCCCAGTGTCTCCGGGAGCCGGGGAGCCGGGGACCGGGGATCGCCCTGCTGAGCAGGGGGTGGGCCCGGGCCAGCCCCGGGAGCTGCATCCCCTGCCCCTCCCAGAGTGCCCAGCACCCCCCCACCCCGGGCATCGCTGTGCCAACCCCCTTCACCAGCCCCCTGGGGCCTCATCCAGGCCTGCTGTCCAGTGGGAGGGCAGCCGCCCCAACAGGTGCCCTAGGGCACCCACTGCCAGGGACCCCAGATGCGTGTCCGTGGGGCAAGATGAGGACAGCAGGGCTGGTGTGGGAAGGAGGGGAGCTGCTGGGCTGCAGGCCCAGTCAGTCACACGGCTGCCACCCCTCTCCCCTGGCACCCCACCCCCACCCCTTCCCACCCCACCTGCCCGTTACCAGGACAAAGAAGCTGGTGACCAGCATCTGGCATTTGGCCACCCTGACTCGACTCCACGGGCCCATGGTGGTCTCCCTTCCTCTGCTTTCTTCTGCTCCCCTGCCTCCCCTCCCCTCCCACTGTGGTTTCCAGCGGGACTGGGGCCCCAGACCGCAGCTGCCCGCCCAGGAGGTAGACTGCGCCTGCCCATCGGCCTGTCAACACGCCCTGAGAACCCAGCGGCTGGGCGCCCCGGAAGAAGGGCGGGCTGGTGGGGGCAGGGTGGTGGGGCCAGCTCCTGCAGCTCCTGCTCCCCCAGCCCCGGCCCGAGACGCCAGGACATTCATGGATGTCTGAGGCCCGTCCCAGAGGGGCACCGCCTCGTTCCTGGCCTGGCCGCAGAAGACACCTTGGGAGGAGGTGGGTGAGTAGCAGAAGGCAGCTGGGTAGGGGGTGAGCTCCCTGTCTCGGGAGTGTGCAAGCAGAGGCTAGCTCCCTGGCGAGTCCTGCCCAGGGCCTTAATCCCGGGAGGAATCTGGGAGGCAGGTCTAATCGGAACCTCATTCTTGAAGCACGTCTTACGTAACACTGTTAGAAATGTTCTGTGACAGCTAACTTTTCGGAAAGGTAGCCTGGTTTCCGATGCTTCAGCGGCACAGATGCGTAACGTGGAGCCCCGCCCTCTCGAGGGCCCGGGGAGGGGGCTCCGACAGAGCCCAGGGGAGAGGCCGGGCCGCCGACTCAAGTGCGTGCAGGTCGTTGCTGAGTGGGACACTGGGGGGCCAGCGTGGGCCCCAGGGGACCCCTGGCGAACCTGCCGTCTGGGTCCGGTCCTGGCTGGTTCGCACCTTGGGGGCCACTGCCTGTGGGGTGGGGCCACCTGTGAATGACTCCCCTGCCCGGCTGGAGTTGCTTCCATTCTGTGTCTTGTAATATGGGGGGCTCCTGGTTCTGTGGGGACACAAGGGGATCCCCAATGCCGCCGGCCTGTGGAGCGCAGGTGTGTGGCCCAGGCTGGGGTGCAGGTGTGACCCGGGGGGTGCCTGAGGGCGTGGGCCGTGGGGCTGGGCAGCCTAACGCCCTCCCCCAGAGACCGGCCACTCTCACTGTGTCGGTTTCACTCCTCCGGCGTGGGAGAGAGGCCACATGGTCACACTGCGGGCGGCCAGCTCGCCAGGCGCCTCTGCGCCCAGTGTGGAGAAAAGAGTTGGGAGTGGGCGCCAGGCCTGGGGTCCTGCCCTGCCCCTGCCGGGCACCTCCTGGGTGCCCCGCACCTCCCAAAGAGCCCCTCCAGCGGCACCCAGGCCTTCCGTGGCCGTGCACTGTGAGAAAGCTCTCCCAGGGACCGACCGCGTGGGGACGGACCAGGCCCCGGCCACAGCCCCGTTTCCCAGCGCCCGCTGGCTGGGGGGCGGGGGGCAGCAGCTGGCAGACTTCAGGCTCCACCACGTCCACCCGTGAGCCCCCCGCCCTCGGACCAGCCTCACCCCCCCTCCCCAGCACTCCGCTGCGAGAGGAAGTGGCACCGAAGAAAGCCACCGGACCCCCAGCCCTGGGCCACTCACCCCTCCCCTCTGGACCCCTGGGGTGGCCACCCACTTCCAGGGCAACCTGTGGGACCGGGCAGGGACCCTGCACAGCAGCTGCAGCCCCAAGGGGCGGGCCCACGGGGACTGGCTGCCCCACCCCCATGGCCCCGTCCTCAGGGTCAGGCCTCACCACACACGGGTGGAGGCTGCTTCCTGCCCACGTTGCCAGGGAGACGCGGGGCTTTGATCTGTGGGCCTGGGAGTGCACATGTCTGTGACATGTGTGTACACATCCACTCACCCACGTGTGCACACGTGCACAGTGTGCACATGCATGGCTTTACGCGTGTGCACACGTGTACACGTGTGTTCGGTTGTCGACACACATGTTCCGGCATGTGCACATGTGCCCGTGTTTGCATTTGTGTGCCAATGTGTGTGTGCTTCTCTGTGTGTGATCGCATGCCGGCGTGAGTGTGCGCACACATGCATGCATGCAGGTGCATGTGTGTTCACATGCATGTGCGAATGTGTCTGTGTGTGCACCCCTGGGTGTGTGAGTGTGTGCACCTGTGTGTGTGGAGCGTGTTATTTGCCATTCGGGGACCTCCTCGCCCCCTCGTTCTCCCCCTCGGCTGAGCAGGCTCATTGGAAACTGTTTTGTCGCCTGCCCTCCCAGTGGCCAGGACTGGGGCCCCCGAGCAGTAAGACCGCCACGCTGGGCTACAACCCCCAGGTGCCTGTGCAGGAGAATCGCAGGGGCTGCGTGCAGCACCCCCGTTAGGGTGGGGAGCCCCGCCCCCCTGAGCGGGGCCACGCACAGCCACCCCCTCCACTGGGGGCGCAGGACGGACGGCTGGCGCCCGACAGCACGCCTCAGCCAGGCGAGGTGGCCGGCCTCCCAGGGGCAGGCCACGCGGAGAGCACGTGGCCCGAGGTGACCTGGTGGGGTCCTCCCCCACACCCACGCCCCCAGGCTACGGAGACCCCAGCAGGGGACAGCCCGCAACCACCGATCAGGCCTCCCCCACACCGTCCGCGTCCCCGCAACGAGGAGGGTCTGAGAAGCCGTCCCCGCCCAGAGTGGCCTGGGGGGGCGGGGGGCTGAGTGTGACTTGGGGGGGGCCCCTGGATGGGTCCTGGGTGGAAAAGAAGGAGGGGAGACGCGAGGAGACTGAACGGGGCATGGCCGTGGCGGGCAGTGGCAGGCCCGCGTGGACTGGTTCGCTGTGACGGGTGCCTGCGCCCACGTCAGATGTCAGTAGGGGGACCGGGGTGCCCGGCACCGAGAGCCCACTGTGCTGTCTTCGCAACTTTTCCGTCACCCTAACTCTGTCCGACGTACGTTGTACTTGAGAAGTCGGCGGCGTCCACCACCACAGCCTCGCGGCGCCGAGGGGGGCGGGCGCTGCGAGCCGGCCCCGCCCCGCTGCTCGCCGGCGGTGAGCTCTCGGCTCACCCCAGTGCCTGCTCGCCCACTGGGTCGCCTGCACGTCCAGGGATGTCACCCGCCCACCTGCTCAGTTACCCGCCTGCCCACCTGTTTCCTTGCCTGCCCGCCTGTAACCCGCTCGTCTTCTCTCAGTTTCCGTCCACGCGGCTCTCCGCTCGCTGCCCCGCTCTCTCCCTGCCGCCCGAGCTCCCCGGCAGCAGCCTCGGGAACCCAGGTCAGGGGCGGAGTGGCCACCCCTGCAGCACCTCCTTGTCCCTGGGCAGCTACCTCCCTGGGCCAGGAGGGGGCAGCCTCCACCCTCCAAAGCTCACCCAGAGGGAAGGAACCCTTCTTCCCAACAGAGACAGCCCGGGGCCTGAGGGCTGGAGCCAGGGTGTCTCCGGCTCCCGACCCTGAGGGCAGGGACCAGACCCGGCCCCTCCCGCCCAGGGAGGCCACAGGTCAGCGCCGCGGTGTCCTGGGGCGCCTTGAGCACATCCTCACCTGTGCACCAGGCTCTGCCGTGCGCCCCTCCCTCCCCGAGCCCCGGCCGCCACTGACCCTGCAGGAGGGAGGGCCTGTGCCATCCTGCATGGGGCACCGCCGCCCCCGGGCACCGCCCTCCGGCCTGGTGCTCGCTGAGCTGGAGAGGCTCACAGATACCGGCCCCGGGCGACCCGCGCGGCACCGGGGCAGCCTGGTCAGCGCCCTCCCTTGCTCTGCGGTGAAGGTGCCGGGTGTGACCGTAGTCCTCGACTTGCCCCTTTCCTGCCGCACCGCACCCACCCACCGGTGTCAGTGTGGCCCCACCAGTCCACCCTCTGCCTCGGCCCTCGCCCGGGGAGCGGGGCCAGGAGGGAAGGGCCCAGCCGCGCCCGGAGCGGGAGGCCGGGGACGTGCCCTCGCTTGCAGGGCCCCGCCGGGCGCGCTAGGTGGAGCGCGGCGGGCTTTGTCTCTCTCCGGGCGTCGAGTCCGGGAGGCGCAGGTGCGCCCGGGGCGGTGTCCGCCGCCAGCTCGGGAAGCTTCTAGAAGGGCCCATCCTCGGAGACGGAGGGAGGCAGCGTGGCCTGGGCTGGGAGGGGGGCCAGGGCAGGGGCGGGCAGCGAATGGCTGCGGGTCTCCCTTCGGGGCGCTGAGAATGTTCCGGAACTGGACGGCGGTGGCCGTCCACCGACCTGAAGGCCTCACACCTGTGTGCTTCAGCCCTCGCCGAGGGTGTTTGTTGATTGCAGAGAGAGAGGAAGACGGGGCGGGGGGTGGGGGACATCGATGTGAGAGAGAAACAGTCATCGGCTGCCTCCTGGACGTGCCCCGACTGGGGATCGAACCCGCAACCCTTCCGTGTACGGGACGACGCTCCAACCCACTGGACCACCTGGCCGGGGTGACCTGAGCACTTGAAAAGAGTGAATTCTGTGGTGTGTCAATTGCCTCAATAAAGCTGTTCTTTGGGTTGAAAAAGAGAGAGAGAGAGATGCCCACGCCCACCCAGGGGCGGAGGGCGCCCCTGGTGGACTCCCTCGCCCTCCCCTTAGGCCCCACTGGAAGTGTCTCCCGGACTCACGCCCCCTGCCCAGCTCCTGGCGGGCGCGGGCCAGGTGCCAGGTGCCAGGTGCCAGGTGGGAGCCTTGAAGGTGGGAGTGAGGCCACGGCATCTTTCATGCTCCAGGTTCTGTTCCGCCCACCGGGGCTCACCCGGCCGGCTCGCCCGGCAACCCCAGGCCCGGCGGTCCCGCACCCAGCACCCAGCGGACCGTGCGCCTGCGGCGAGGCACCCCTGTGGGCCCTGCTGCTGTGACGGACGCGGGTGACACGGCCCGGGACCCCCGCCCCCAGTTCTCCCTGCCCGTGCAGTTGGGAGCCCACCGTCTCCCTGGCTGCGGTCTCCCCGACGCCTCCTGGCTCCCGAGTGCAGCGGGGCGCCTGTCCTCGCCTCTGCCTCCACGCGGCAGCCTCCAGCCGGCACGAGGTCCCCAGGCCTCTCAGCGCCCATGACACTGTCTCTACGGGTGTCTGTGTCACTGACTGAGGTGCCATTTCTCAGGCGTCTGTGGACTCCGCCCACCCGGCCCCTTGCTGAGATATTGGGGTCCCCCAGGGACAGAG